CTCTCCATTCTTGATTGCTAATACTATAAACTAATTGTGGTTGAATTTTTTAACCCATATAAAGTTGTTGAAAGGTCATCGCATTGCAATAGCAAGCGAACAAAAGCAGCCCGGCCCAGTGAAGGATCTAAGAAGAAAAGCGTGCCACAGAAGCTGAGAAGCACCACGTTAAAAGAAAGATAGTGGTGGATAGTAACATTAGAGGCCAGGAGCACTCATGTTCTAAATTAAACGATCTTCGGCTGGTGGCCATCATATTGGGTTTTTCTTTGGTCCCGTACTGCCATCAATTCCATTGTTCCACCCATTCTCGTCAGCTTCATTGTGTACGTAAATTATCGCTGAGACGTAGTTTCTTTACCTTCAAGGTATTCACCCCATATATTTTAAGAAACACTTTTTGAATTATTTGTATTTAAAAATATAAGGTATTTTAAACATTTTAAACTTTAAAATATAATTAGTAAGATTTTTCTAAAATTATCTTTGTTTAGGAGGTAAAATTAATAAAAAATTTAATTAAGACAACTTATTAAACTGGACCATCCAATTCAACTTGTTGGATTGGGAACCAATCACTAGTCCAGTATGGATGACTCCAAAATCAGACTAAGTTAAGCCGATTGGACGGACAAAAATCGAACCGATTCTAATATTAATAAAACGCAACAAACGAAAAAAAAAATTAAAAACAATGCAAGATAAAAAAACTACAAATTCCTTTTTGCTGTACAAATGGCCCAGAATTGTAATTTCGAGAAGTTCTGTGTTCTTGTTTATGGGAATTGCCTTATGAGCGAAGTTTTGGTTGCTTAAGGGAGTACGTTGATTAAGGATACCATAATAGTGAAGATTGAATCACATCAAAATGCACGTGCTCCAGATTAAGTTTATGCTTACACCTCTCTGGGTATGCTCAAGGCCTTGCTTTAATTCGCCAATGATTTGTAGGTATATATTGATACCCACGTCACTTCATTAATTCTGCATTTTTGTTATATTATACGGTTACTGTTATGCTTAAAATTTCTTATTTAGTTGTATTTTTTTTCCATGGCGATTGTTGTCATCTGTATAGCTATTTATTCCTAATATTATGCCGTTGTATGTCAATTCAGTTTAAATATACTTATCTGTTTGAATACTAATTTGTATTCCATTGTTCTTGTATTCTAATTCATCAAGGTGGTATTTGGATTGGTAGATTGAATTATATTTAGATTTTAGATTTAAAATTTCATATTTAAAATTCTACATTTAAAATTTATATATTTAAAATCATTTATTTGCATAGTATAAAAAATTCAAAAGAAAAAATAGTGACAAGTTGAGATTCAAACCAATCCAAAACAAAATGTTAGAGATGAGAAAGAGGCAGCAGTGACAAAAACACCAAAAATAAAAATATGAAGAGAGAGAAGAGAGAGTTTGAATGGCAAAAATTTTAAGGTTAAAGCATAGCTTTAACTTTACATAAAGTTTTAATTTGATCCTTTAATTTTGTAAAGTATTTTTTTTATCCTTTCACCTTAACATCGTTAGTTTCAAATTTAACTTTACATAAAGTTTTAATTTGATTTTTTAATTTTATAAAGTATTTTTTTATCCTTTAACCTTAACATCATTAATTTTAAATAATTATTTTTTTATTAATTATTGTCATTCTGAAAAAAGTATTTTGATAATGTTTTGTGAATATTTAAAAGTTCAATGTAAAAATCTGTTGGGATAAAATATTTTATAAAGTTAAAATATTAAAATGATTATAAATTAAAGAATTAAATGTATACTTTAGCAAATTTTAAATAAGTAAAGTACATACTCTTTTCATTAAAAAATATAAGGTATTTTTAACCGAATTTCACCCTCCTATAAAGTAGTTACCTGCTTTCAAACTAACCACATCTTTTTATATTTATTCTTATTAAACATCCTATAATAAATATAAAGTCATTATCAATAAGGGTATTTTTTTAAAAAAGGAAATGATTACACCTCAAAAAATTAAAAATGCCTTATATTTTTAAATATCTAACTCCTCAAAAGATGACTTATATTTTTGAATGGAGGGAGTAGGAAATTTGAATTCATAAATTAGTTATAATAGGAAATGGGATTTGAATTTGGCTGACTTAAATTCCAATCCATACTTTCATCTATCAAGATGAGAGATTTGGCCAAAATCTAATTGTCATGAATTGAAACACAGCACTAAATTATTTGGAAATTTAATAGGATTTTTTTCTGAAATAGAACGTCTTAGATAGCTAAGTCTACTAAGTCTATAGTATTACTCTGAAATACTTAATTGGAAAGGCCAGAAAAGTTTGGTCAGAGCCTATATGCACATCTTAAATCCTCTTCATGTTTAATAAACATAGCTAAGGTCTCTAATGTATTTTTTTTTTATATTCTTCCCAACTTTTTATTTTAGCTTTTATATAAAATAAAAGACATTTAAATATTTTGACGTCTCAAAATTGTGAAGTTTTGAATTGTTTATGATTTTTTAAGGAAACATAATCACAATCATATTGTTTTATTAACTTTTAAAAAATCATAAAAAACATAAAAACTCATTGTTTTGAGATTTTAAGATATCAAAATGTTTTTTTATTTTATATAAAAATTAATGATATAAAGAAAAAATGAAAATGAAAATGAAAAGTTAGGAAATTATATAGAACATTAGTGACCCCTTGCTCATGAAACACAGCAGCTATCACATACGTCTAAAATATTTATAATGGCCACGTATTTCGGTAGGCAGAGAGAGCACACGAGATGATGATCTCAGGAGAGTTTCCTAAAATGTTTGTTTAGTCCTTGTGTTTTTCAGTAGAATACCTTGTCCTTTTATATTCAAAAATGAGGTTATGAAAGTTTAAGACACGCACCGGAGAAGATGTGTGAGCGGACCCCTCTTATCGTTGAATCATTTCCACAAGATTAGACCTCTTAGATCTTGCAAGTAGATAGACGTGAGATCAACCATTATTCAGTGATTGCAAATACACGAGGAATGAAGACGAGTAGCTATATGTCACGAGACCATTACTCTTTCCCCAAAAGGCTAACCATTAGGACTCAGTTACTCTTTCCACCGTCAAGTATTATTGCTTTTATCTTATCCGTCACCCAGGCTGCTGGACACTCTCCCTCCAGGCCCCACAAGGGCGACCCCACCCTTTACGGTGAGCATCAGGAGACAAAGGCTTTCCCGCAGTAGTGTGCGGATTGTTCCCCTTGCGGAGAGCTAGACTCAATGGCACTAGGTTCAGCCTCAATTTTGTTATGTAGGAGAGGTTAGAGGATCGAACCTGGGGAGGCTTTCCACAAGGGGAACAATCCTGCGGAAAGCTTTTGTCTCCTGATGTTCACCGTAAGGGGTGGGGTCGCCCTGTTGTGGGGCTTGGGGGAGAGTGTCCAGCGTCATAAAAGACCTCAGGTAGGCGGGTGAGCAGAGGGCTGTTACATAAAAAGGCGCCTTTTATGTAACAGCCCTCCTGGGTCACCACTGCCTCTCAAGGGTCTTTTCCCAGGCGCTGGACAACACACATGTCACCACATGATTGCCGGCTTTCCCACTGGTGGTACAGTGGTTGTTCCTCATCCCACCCTCACGGGGGTCTTTTAGAACCTCCCCAGACTTGAACCTCCAACCTCTACCACCTTAACGAAGTTGAGGCGAAGTCTGGTACCATTGAGTCAACCCGTGAGGGTGGGGTGAGGAACAACCACTGTACCACCAGTGGGAAAGCCGGCAATCATGTGGTGACATGTGTGTTGTCCAGCGCCTGGGAAAAGACCCTTGAGAGGCAGTGGTGACCCAGGAGGGCTGTTACAAAATGTATTTAGGTGTCCAACTTCTTGATGTGACTTTTTTTGGAAGTGAAACTCATGCCATTAGTTTAGTTCATGTAATGAATTTTTCACAAACACCTAAATCACATCATTCGGTCGTCGGATGGAGAATCAGGGCACATCAGAAGTTTCCTAATTCTGCTGTCAAATGATAGCAGAATCTGCTGAATTTTCATGCAACACGCCATGGTGCATGGCACAAAGAGCAATACACTATGGCTGTAATGTGCACAAGCCACAACGCATTGCCCTGTATCACAGCACATGTTTATTTTTCAACTAGTTTTGAATTCTTTTACTTCTCTAAGCTATCTCATGCTTCTAAAACTTTTTTTATTCTGATATAAAAGATTTTGATTGATTTAAACTCATTGTTATTTAGAAAATTTAGGATCCTTAAATTTAGACTAAAACTTGGTAATCATTTTTATGTGTTAATCTTTTAATTACCATAAGTTTTAATGGTTAATTGTATTT